ATAATAAGTTAAAGCCTGTTACTATGGTTACAAAACACTGAAAATAGATCAGACTGACAACTTACTGAAATAAATTTATCACCTTGTCTGCTTTGGTCAATATAACAAGTTAAAGCCTGTTACTATGGTTACAAAACACTGAAAATAGATCAGACTGACAACTTACTGAAATAAATTTATCACCTTGTCTGCTTTGGTCAATATAACAAGTTAAAGCCTGTTACTATGGTTACAAAACACTGAAAATAGATCAGACTGACAACTTACTGAAATAAATTTATCACCTTATCTGCTTTGGTCAATATAACAAGTTAAAGCCAGTTACTATGGTTACAAAACACTGAAAATAGATCAGACTGCCAACTTATTGTTAATAATTACAGATTTAAGAAATAAAGCCTTTTTTTAGACAATAAACTTTAGCCGGATGTAACTAGCGAACATCCGAAACTGAAAGTAGCTTACTGAGAATTCTAGAATCGAAAATGACTTATTTTAAAGAAATTTCGTGCAGCGTTTTATTGTCTTCAGTTAGTTTTGTTAGACAAAGTTTTGAACTTCATTCCGAAGTTATCATCATGTCCGAGTTTTTTCTTTTTTATTATTTCCACAGAAACAACGTGTAAAACGACATTGATAATAAGTAATCTTAAGCCAGTCCAAAAAACAAAACACACACACAAAAAAAAACATTTGTTTCTCGGATTACTTTTTCCTGAAAAATTTGAGCCAGTCAATTTTGTTTTTAATATCGGATACGTATATTCAAATTTTGAATAATTTCCGTTATTTAACATTTATATCTGTGTCTTCTCTTAACTAACTTGTTGTTGTTAAATTTCGCGCAAAACTACTCGAGAGATATCTGCACCAGCCGTCCCAAATTCTGAAGTGACAGACTAGAGGGAAGGCAGCTAGTCATTACCACCCACCGCCAACACTTGGGCTACTCTTTTAACAACGAATAGTGGGATTAATCGCAGGTTTATAACGTCCCCTAGGCTAAAAAAAAAACAAGCATGTTTGGTGGTTTAGAGGTTGGGAAAATGCCGTTATCGAGTACAGAGAATGTTATTACCAAGCAAGATGCTGGAATTCGTTGGCTTTGGGTTTGTTTTGAATTTCGCGGAAAGCTACACGAGTGCTATCTGCGCTAGTCGCCCCAATTTAGCAGTGATAGACTAGAGGGAAGGTAGCTAGTCAACACTACCCTTCGCCAACTTTTGGGCTACTCTTTAACAACAAATAATGGAATTGACTTCACATTATAACGCCCCCACGGAGTAAAGGATGAGCGTGATCGGTAATGGGTTTTGATTTCGCGACTCGCACATTGCGAGTCTAGCCCTCTAACCACCAGACCGTTTACATAACAGGCCTATAGAGCCCAGTAAATCAAACCTATAGACAAACCGTGTACGTCGTAGAAGACTCCGCAAAATATTTTCAATATCGCTAAATAATAACGTAAATACCATAATCAAAGGCGATTCCATGCAATGACGGAACGTGAATTACTGCGAGTTTTAGAAATATAATTACTTTTGATTTTTAGATGTGATTGAAAAAAAACACAACAGAAAACATTCTACTAATATTCTTGTTGGCAGTTTCGAAAAACTACTTGTATTCCTACACGGACTTACCAAATTTGGTTGACGTTCAAAGAATTTAAAGTTGTTAAAAAAAAGAAACTGCTTCACGTC